AACATGAATAAGTTCTAAGAATCATCTGCAGGAAATGTTAACTGATCCTGTGGTGGTATTGATTTCACAATATATACATGCTTCAAATCATCACATTGCATTGTACACATTAAATGTGCACAATGTTATATGTCAATTATATTTCAATAAAGCTAGAAAAATTTAAAACTAAGTTTAAAAAAACAATACTGGCATATTCCTCTAACTTCTCTCAGACAGAGACCTTGGACCCTGAGTTTCATCCCTTTGTCCTTATAGCTTCACAAGTGCAGGAAATTTTAGAGCTTCAATGAAGCCCTTCTTCCAATTATGGGATTACAAAGTTTTCATGAATTTTTGCACTCCTGGGAACTCTTCAAAACTCACACCAATCAGAAAGTAAACCTTGATTTCACCTGAGGAGGAGAAAACATTGGGGGGAATCACTTCTCTACGGTAAACAGAAAGGACCAAAATAGCCTGCAACCCTCTAGAGTAATGACACCGACCCAGCCCAGCGCTCCTGTGGAGTGACTGAGGCTGCACAGCTCAAAGCTACTTTACAGGGCTGACCCAGCTAAAGCCCAGGATCTACCTGGGGTATCTGACTGTGCCTGAAACAAAGTTTCTTTGAAAATGTGATGAGGGACTACCCCCGAGTCCACCAGCAGTGTGGGCCGAGAGAAACACACCCAGGGGGTCTTTGGAATGACTGGCACAGTGTAGGACTTTTCTAAAATGACTTGAACAGGCAGAGCCATAATTTATGACACCCCTGGAATCACCCATGCAGACAGTCTAAGGCTGCCCCAGAGTGACTGGTACAGACCGGGCTCTCTGGACTGTGATCCGGACAAGTCCCATTCACAGGCGGTAAGTAAAGGGTGGGTGGCAGGGGCACAGGCTTAATATCTCTTGTGATGAGGATGATAGCTCAGCACCAAAATATGTTCTTTTCTGACATAATTCTGAGAAACAAGAAGGGATCAGAGGTCTCAAGTAAAGAAAAGAACATGGAGTTTTATAGGGCTCAACAAATTTGGAAACCTGGGGAAATGATAGAAAACAGTGACAATATGTTTATTGTGCTTTAGAAAATTCAAAGTGCTTATGCAGATGCTACCTCATGTCACAACCACAACCATTCCTTCAGGTGGGTAGGGTGTTTATAATAATTGTCATTTTACAGTTGAGAAAACCATAACCCAGGAAATGTACTGTCTGTAGCTCCATATCTCACAGCTAAAATAATAATCAGAACTTGAATTCTCATTTTATGACTCCAAAGTCCTTGTCTTTGTAACTACATGGTCTCAAACAATCACGTACATAGTATTTTTAAAAAGATCTCTTAAGAATGTTATCGAGCTCTTCTGTGTTGAAACAAACATAGGACCTCCAAGATGTTACCCCTGAAAGGAAATCCTCTGAGGTGTAGCTGGCCAGACAACCTGAATTTTCCACCCTTGCCACGGACCAGCACAGCAGTAGACGATGAGGCCTTCTCAGGGTTGAGAGAAGCGCACAGGGTGGTCAGGGAGTAGACGAAAGAAATGACAGATACACTTCAAGAGAGATTGTAAATCTGAGTGCAATTTTATTTGAGTTTGTGACCAGTATATATATGTTTTCTAAAAGCATAGAAACAGTGAACATCAACGAAATCAGCTTGCTCATAGGTTTAGCTTATCATTGACAGGGCAGTGATCTATGTCCAAAATACATCTGGACCTAGCCGCATTCCTAAGTAGACAGGCTATTAACTCTTTCTTTTGTTCTATATAATTATATTCTTGTTGTACTAACTACTACTACTACCTACTCATTTTTACTCATAATTAATTGTCACGGGTGAATTTTATTTTATAATGCAGTTAATATCAAAGGTACTAAAGTCAAGCACATAATAGAAAGATTATTAAACCAACAATTCTATTATAACACAGTGTTTAGTAATGTTTCATTTGGATTAGCCTAATTATTAAATTACGTATGTTTTTTAACTAGCAACCAATGACCAGAAAAAAAGGAAAGATTTTAGAAAGACACTTGTAGCAGAATAAAGTTTGTGGGCCTTGAGAAAGCGAGATAAGGTTCCGTGTGGTCAGCATCCCTTTTAAGTCTTTGTGGCGGCTTCTGGTGGTCGTTATCTCTTGGCAGGCATTCGGCTTCTCTGCATCTTAGGGAGTTTGCTGTTCTCCCCCTGCGCGCATGGTTCCTTGCCCACGCCGGACCTCAGGGACCATGACAACAGCCATTAGCCCTGAAGGTCACTGCAGGGGGAGGTGCAGCACACCCCAAACCTCCCTTCCTCTGAGGGTTCTCTCTCCCTGTCTCTGATTACTTCTGTCATAACCAGACTTAACCCAACAGCTCTGTACTTGCCAGACCAGCAGTAAATCAGAACCCAAATTATACACCACCAATAACATCCTGACAACGACAACTGCTTTCAGGAAGTTACACGAAGCTCAGTTCTTCAAAACCTGCCCAGCAGCCTCCCCCTCTACTATTTCTTCCCTGCATAGTAAGGGTAAACACTTAGAAACTTGAAAAGGGAAGAGAAAGGTGAAAGGTACGAAAGCAACAGAAGAAAATAGAAAGGGGAGAGTTATTCAAGTAACAAGACAAATAAAGGAAACTAGAATTACAAGTATGAGGAGAAGGCAGAAGACATCACGGATTGTGCTTCCACTTTGTGTTTCCTGCAGCACGAGGGTCCTAAGAAGATGCAGGAGGGAACCAGCTCAGGGGAGAGGAGACCAGTGAGAGTGAAACAAGTGGGTCTCTCAGCTCTTCTCCTACCCTTGTGCATCCTCACTGCATCTAAGTCTGTGGAAATGACACGAGGCTGTATTGCTGATGTATGTGGGTGTTTGTCTGTGAGTTCCTTGTGAATGGATCTCCCTGTGCCTACATACTGTCTGTACAGATGTGTTCTGACTTATTTTCCATGCTCTCTTCATTATTCATTCAATAACAATTTGCCTGGCATCTGCATTGCTAGATGTGATGATTAAAAAGTTGAATAACACAACTTCTCCTCTCAAGGTGTACACCACCTAGAGCTTGAGATGGAGGAATAAAATGGTTATTCTAATATGAGGACTGGAAAATTGTTTCCCAGGTCTCCAGTGTTAGTAATATCTTGAAATGTTCTGTCCATCTCTAGAAATTTTACTGTTTTTTGCTCTCTCACCAACCCCCTATGCCAAACACTCTAGCTTGCCCTCACCTGTGACTTAAACTCTTTTACCTTCTCAGAGAGCAGGTGAAAATGTTCTTGAAGGATTAAATCCATGACTTGGAGTCAGCTGCCCCACATGTTGTCCTGATGCTAACACTTACTGGTTGCCCAACCTCGAAAAAATTATTAACCTTCTCTCTGCCTTGGGTCCTTGACTGTTGAGTAGCCTTCTTTAGTCCCTATATCTTCAGGTTGTTGTGAGACTTAAATAACATAATGCATCAAAACACTTAAGATAGTGTCTGGTACACAACAAATGTTAATTCTTACCATGAAAATGGGTAAGTTTTCATAGAAATGATGCCCAGGTTGAGTTGTTGGTTTTTGTTTGTTTATTTTTAACAAATAGAAATCAGCAAAAAATTTTAAAAAGCATTTCTCTTTGCTCTCTCTCTCCCTCATTCCTACACTCTGACCTTCTCTTATCTGCTCAGAACTCTACTCAAATATTCTCTTCTTGGTGAAACCTTTCCTGCCGCTCTCCCCTTCCCAAATGTCTATCTCTTTCTCCACAACTTTAATTATTCTCCCTTGATCTCATCACCATCTAACATGCTACATTCTATCTTCATAATTTGTTTATAATCTATATGCCCTTCTACAATGTGAATTCTGCCAGTGCAGAGATTTTTGTTTATTTACTAATATATCATCTTTGGTGTCTAGAACATAATAGATAATATTTATTAAATAGATAATTCATTTTTCTTACCAATTGAGATACAGGGCTCACAGTGAGGTGGGTAATGGGTTGGATAAAAAGTAGACTTTGGAAGGTAGATGTAGCATTATATCATAATAATTATAATGGTTAGAATTTATTGAGCATTTATTATGTAACAATCACCACACTACATGCTTTAGATTTGTGCCTTCTTTTAAATTTCTAATCATCTGGAAGAATTTCATGGTCCCAATTTTGAAGCTTAGCTATTGATGTAATAAACTTTGTTTTTCACAAAATGTAATGTTAGTCACATCTGCATGTTTGAGTTTTTAACATTTAAAACTTGAGCTTCATATTTCTGGAGAATTAAGACACAGGTCAACTAATAGAAGCTAGTGAGAGGATTTATTCATAATACACATAGATTGTCTCTGTAGTCTGATGCTCTCTTGAATCTGTGTTCCCTTTATTTGATCACAAAAGCCACAATGAGAACATTTTGCCTGGGGATCAAAATACACCACAGTTTCTATTACATTGTATGTCTTCTTATTTAAATTGTAACTGAGCTAGTTTAGAAATGGACATTCCTCCAGTACACCAAAATCTTCCCACTATGGGCTACTTAAGACTGGAACACATTCAAGTCCCTCAGGGATCACTGGTAAATGTTGATTTACATTCCTTGATTCCCTCCTTCTCACCCTTTCACTTGCAGAAAACATACCTGACTAATCTCACTGTCTCTCTCTGTGCATCAAGATTCCTCTCTTTAGAAATGGTTGGCCTGCCTTCTTTTCCAGCACCACTGACTGTGGAGAGATTGGGAGGAACACAGAAGTGAAGTTGTGGTTTTGACAATACTGTATAATGCAAGAAAAATTCAGGAGATGTATGGATATATACGGTTTGCTTTTGTTCAGTCTGGAAAAAAAAAACCAGCAGTCTACAAAAAATTGTGAATTCAATAGTATCTTGCTCTTCACATCTTGGAAAGTCAGATCTTCAGTAACCACAACAAGAAAGGTAGAGAATGCAGCCATAGAAGTCTCCCTTCCTAAATGTATAATAGAGATCTAAATAATATATGAACACTTCTGCCTAATAAAATCCTGGGTAGAAGAATGATGTGGGGAAACTGGACAATTGTCAATGAGTTTGTTCTTGAGAGCTTCTCAGCCTTGTCCTCTGAACTACAAGCCCTACTGTTTTTCCTTTTTTTGACCATTTACCTGGTTACCCTAATGGGCAATGTCCTCATTATCCTGATAACTACAGTTGACTCTGCCCTACAAAGTCCTATGTACTTCTTCCTCAGGAACTTGTCCTTCCTGGAGATAGGTTTCAACTTGGTCATTGTGCCTAAGATGCTGGGGACCTTGATCATACAAGATGCAACCATCTCCTTCCTTGGTTGTGCCACTCAAATGTATTTCTTCTTCTTCTTTGGGGCTGCTGAGTGTTGCCTCCTGGCCACAATGGCATATGACCGCTATGTGGCCATCTGTGACCCTTTGCGTTATCCGGTCATCATGGACCGCAAGGCCTGTGCCCAGCTAGCAGCTGCCTCTTGGTTTTCAGGGTTTCCAGTGGCCACTGTGCAAACCACATGGATTTTCAGCTTTCCTTTTTGTGGTGCCAACAGGATAAACCACTTCTTCTGTGACAGCCCCCCTATCATTGCCCTGGTCTGCGCTGATACCTCTCTATTTGAACTGGAGGCTCTGACAGCCACTGTTCTATTCATCCTATTCCCTTTTTTGCTGATCCTGGGATCCTATATCAGCATCCTCTCCACCATCTTCAGGATGCCCTCAACTGAGGGGAAACACAAGGCCTTCTCCACCTGTTCCTCTCACCTCCTGGTGGTCTCCCTTTTTTATAGCACTGCCATCCTTACATACTTCCGACCCAGGTCCAGCACCTCTCCTGAAGGCAAGAAGTTGCTGTCACTCTCCTACACTGTAGTGACACCCATGCTGAACCCCATCATCTACAGCTTAAGGAACAGTGAAGTGAAGTCTGCACTGAAGCGGGTCATCCACCGGGCCCTCGGGCCTCAGAAACTATGACTGACTTAGATGGAAGCTGAAAGGGTAGAATGCAAAGACAAAAGGAAAAAAGCAAATTTTGCATATGGATTTTTATCTTGACTCTTTCCATGAGTATATCCACTGGGGTTTGGGCTTTCTATTTTCTGAATAGAAGAGCAGGTGTGGTGAAAGAAAGAACTACATGGGCCCCCTACTCTATGGGGCTGTGGTAGCAATGAATCTGGGGATATTGCCAGTTTACATATATTAGGAACCTATTGGAAGGTTGATAATGTTGCTGCAATATGCCTGTTTTGTTGTTTGGTTTAACCTTTCTTGAAATTCTTTATCCATTCCATTTTATAATCTTCTGCTTTACTTTCTTCTGTTTATCCCAAAACTCTACCTGGAACTTGCAAAAATCCTTTTGTTTATGAGGGAAATTAATTAACATAGTATAAACATTAGAACTTTGTTTCATTTCTCACTCATTTTTTCAACTAATTTTAAGTTTGAAATCAAAATTTCAACGAATTTTTATTTAGCCCTCACATGTGGTAAGATAAGAAGACACCTTGGTGAACAAGCACACATTTCTCGCCTCATAGAATTTATATTCCAGTGAGAAAGAGAAAGAATAAAAAGATACTTAAAACTTCCCAGGGCTATATGGAACATGGATGTTTTGAGGAGTTCTTCCTCTCCTACTCTTATTGCTCTGTGTCTCATCTGGAAGACCACTCTACTCTGACCCGCAAACTTCATTTCAAATTACCTGCCTTGGACATGAGCGTTGCTTGAAAGAAAGGGTGTGAAGGAATCGTTCAGCTTGCTTATCATCCAGTCAGTGTAGCAGTCCCTCTATAATTTTGTCTGGTGAACATAGTCCAACTCTTGACTAATCCATAAAAAAAGAATTGGAACATGAGTATCATAGCTTTGTATAAACTATTCACAATAATTTATTGATGATTATCAGAATAAAAAAGCATGTTCTTTCCACAAACCCTGTAAAGAACTCTAACTCTGCCTGCCATTGAGATACCAGGATGAACTCAATATCCCAAATAAGAAATACATGAATTCTCATGGAACAAAGACTCCAGAAAGGCAACATAATATGAGTTTCTCTGATATCTTTTTGCTACTTGACTAATGTCTTCTGGCTTTTCAGGGTTTGTTTTTTTGCCTTGAAATGATTGAATATTTTATAGAAGATTTAGTCATGGACAATGCTTCACGACTTATTGCTATTCCCTTGGAATATACTGAAACCCCACATGAAACTGTCTTCTGAGGCTTTCATCACCAAAGGACTGGTGATAAAAAATTAAAATGGGGGAGTAGGGAGAAATTGTTAAGAGGTAACAGTGAGGTTCAAACTGAGCCAAGAGGGAAGCTCATAGTGAAGGTCAAGTTTTATTTTTTCCAGCCCCTGCCATATTACCAGACCCCACTGTCCATGCCATCAAGTATTACAAGTCCTTGCATGCAATTAACTTGACTTCCTGAATGGGGTGCTGCTGGGAATGAGCTGCAAAACCCAGTAGTCAAGTTAGAATTTCAATACACATATAGCATATCTGGTTCTCTCCTATTTTCTTCTGGCTTCCACATATACCTGCTGTCTGCTCAGCTGGTGCCAGTATGATCATCCTGCATGGCCATGGCTTCATGGCACTGCAATGTTGCAGGGGAGTGTGGGGCAGGCAAGCATGAATGGCTGAGAGCAGGGCCTTGGACTCAGTTCTTGCTACAGAACTCACCCAATAAAAATTTCTCTCTCCTGCTCTCTTGTCTCCTCCTCCATGCACAGCCCTCTCTTTCCACCCTCCTCCCAACTCTGTCCCTCTTTCTCTCTTTCCCTCCCACCTCCTTTATATTCCCAATGTAAATAAATCCTATTTTTTTTGTTTGTTTCTGACTATGGGTCCCAGATAGTTAAGCATATGGGTAGGGACTCAAACTGGGTAATCTCCAGTCCTCCAGGTTTGCCCCATTTCATAAGGCAACACACACGTAGAATCTAGCTCACAGTAAGTGATTACTGAATGCTTACACATTTTTAATTACTTGATAATGAAAAGAAATTAATTGATTCTAAAAGAAATAATGAAGTTGGTTAGGATCAAGGGTAGATAGGTAGATATAATGATTAAAAAAAAGATAGATTTTACAGGTTGCAGGGCTTATAAAATATAAACATTTCTCAGGGTATATCTTAACTCTTAGGTATCAAAGGACCAAGCACAAGGAAGCAGACCCCCCTTCAATTACTGAATTGAATTCCAGGAATTATCTTCAACAGCTGCTGTCCTCCTTACACAAAGGAGTGATGGATGAGAGGTGGAGGATGGATCCACAATAAGGCCAAGAATGAGATCTGACCATACTCCAGTCTTGCTGAGGGAGCTCCTCAGTCTTCGAAGGGAGAGCCAGGAGGGAATCACTGCCGGTGCAAGCTTCCAAGCCTGCATGGGAAATTCTTTGTGGTTACTTTCCTCAGAGCTCCCTTCACATCCTTATTCCTGAGGCTGTATATGAGGGGGTTAAGCATAGGGGTCACCATTGCATAGAAGACGGACACAAGTTTTTCCTGTTCTTTGGATGATTTTGGTGTCATATAGGTAACAATTGCAGACCCATAAAAGAGGATGACCACAATAAGGTGGGAACCACAGGTAGAGAACGCCTTGAGTCTCCCTGCAGCTGATTTCATCCTGATCACAGTCACTATGATGTGGCCATAGGATACCAGGATTAGGGAAACAGGTATGAGGAGAATCACAACCCCCATGAGGAAAATAACCATCTCTGTGGTGTGGATGTCTGTCGACGCCAGGGTCAACAGTGCAGGGGCCTCACAAAAGAAATGGGAGATACTGTTGCTGCCTCGGTAGGGCAGTCTCAGTGTGAAGGTGGTGTCCACCACGGACACCAGCATGCCACTGGCCCATGACCCTGCAGCCAGCTGGACGCACACCCTCCAAGTCATGATGCTGGGGTACTGCAAGGGCTTGCAGATGGCCACATACCGGTCATAGGACATCACTGCCAGAAGGGCACACTGAGTGCACCCAAAAATGAGGAAGAGCAGAAGCTGAGCTGCACAACGTGGGAAGGAAATTACCTTCCTCCTGGAGAGCAGGTGGGCTAGGGCCTGAGGAACGATGTTGGTAGAGAAACAGAGGTCAGCCAGAGATAAGTTACAGAGGAAGAAATACATGGGTGTGTGAAGCCGGGAGTCCATCTGCACAAGAGTCATGAGAAGCAGATTCCCAAGCACTGTGACCAGGTAGACACCCAAGAACAAGATGAACAGCAGCTGCTGGGTGTAGGGGTCATCTGAGAGTCCCAGGAGGAGGAATTCTGTCACCTGTGTCTGATTGGTCTGGCTCATACTTTGTCTCTCCTTTCAGAAAAGAAATCACTGTAGGCTAAAGGTGGGTGTGTATAACCTATAAAATGAGAGTTCAATGTTAGATGACTTACAAATCACAGCCCATCACTACCAGTCACTTAAGGAACCCTCTTAAGAAGGTTTTTAGAATAAGAGGGGGTGCAATTGTATGGGGAATATAACCAAAATGAAAATGCATACATTGTGCAAAGATGAAAAAGATGTAAGAATTATATAAAATAAAATATTTAATTAAAAAAAGAAGGTTTTTAGAACATTACCATGCTCTTTAGTTGGAACAATTCCAATGCTGAAAAACAATAATTGATAAGATGGTATATTCATTTCTAGAGTCTTCTGGCAAGGGAATTGTAGATCAAAAGAATCATCTTTTATTGTGTATATTATACTTTTAATAATGGAAAAGTAGATTCAATTCTTTTATGAACTCTCACCTTTTAATTTCACTTGATTATCATCTAAAACCCTTGAGACCTCTACTACTCTTGACTACTCTTGCCATACCTCCCCCATCTCATGATGGTGTGTGGTTTTTTTAAAATTCTTTGGATGTAAAAGTGAACCTGATGTGTCCTCTCTGAAAGGCACTCACTAAAGTAATATAAATCAAGAAGAGGCAAAATACCTTTCAGAACTGACATTTTTTAGAGAAAAGAACTTATTTTGAGGAGCTGGGATTTCAAGGTTAAGTGGGGTGTGCACCACTATCTCTTTAGCAGCTGGAACTCCCAAATATCAATCTTGATGGACAGTGAACTTCCAAATAGCAGGCCCATCATGACAATCTACTATCCATGTAAGCCACCAGCTTGACTACATTTCTCTGTTCAAATGACACAGCACTATTCTGCCAGTTCCTACCCAGTGTCTCTCACTGCTTTGCATTCTGTCTACACTGCTCAGGGATTAAAAAGTCCTTTGAAAACTGTGTTTGCATTTTTCATTTTATGTGCTTAATTTGACATAGCTGAGCCTTATTCAATAAATTATCATTGATTAAATAAATAAAACAATTTGATCACATAATTTACTTGAGTTGTTTTAGAAACCTTCCAGTATCCCTAGGTAGATTTACAAGAATTTGGAAGCAATGATAATATTTTATGGAGCAATTCTCAAAAAGTAGGGAAAGAAATTTCAATTTAAATTCTAAGATTTAAGGTCCTATACAATATTTGGTCTAGCAACCCTTTATCTGTCTGGAAAGGTATTTCATAACAATATTTTAAATACATCAACTACAAAGTATAGCATTTTCAATTATCAAAATAATTTTAAAAAACAAATGCAGAGTATTATAACACTCATTTTTGACACATTAAACATGCAGTTGTTGCAGCAGGGCTAATAGCCACTTGATTTCAAAACTGAGCTTCAACAACAATATGATATAAAAATACTTCTGATATATTGGTGATAAAGTCATGGATACTGCTAATGCTGCTTTGAGTGACTGGCTACATTCAAATAAGAAGGCAAATTTAAATTTCAGTTAGACTCAGTAAAAATGAATTAGTGTGAATCTAAATTAAAGAACCAATTGAAATCTAAGATAAAACACAGGAGCTAAAGGAATTCCTGGTAGATTCCATCTGATAATGGCATCTGAACTATCTGGATGGGCTTGCAAGTCAAAATTTTG